TGGGCGGTCCCGACGAAATAATATACGTATAACGACGCCTACTATATATATATATATACCTAACCCTGTGACGTGTGTCCCTGCCCCTCGCGCTCGCGCAACTCCGCGATGCACACCGGGTGTTCCATGAGAAACCGTTCGTCTTCGTGATGCTCGGTAATCGGGAAGCTTCGCCAAGTCCCTTCCGAGTCAAGGAGCAATTCAATCCGCTGATGTACCTCCATTTACTCCGGGATAAACAACCGCTCTTGTTTCGTTCTCACTGATGTTCCATCTTGTGGGATTTAATTGTCTCATAGAGAGAACCGTACTATCCGTAATGATAAATTGAGAATTTAAGCTAGAGAGAAGAGAGCTAGTTCCTTCTCATTTTTAGATATTTTTTTTTGTTACGAGTAGTACTCGCAATTTTAATTTTGCAAATCGAAAATGTATCTCTCATATCTCTCGTGGATAGATTTCACGATTTTCTTTTTAATTTAGTATGACATTCTGGGAAAAATGTCTCAGTCTGTGAGAAATAAGTTAATATCACACATTGCTTCGCATATTGTCATATATGTTTTGCATAAAAAGGCAATTTGGCTCTGCATAAAATTTCTCGGAATTCCAATCTCTGTTTGCTGATTAAAGGTGTAAGTTTTTTTTTTTCTTACGCAATCGATTATCCAATGAGAACTTATAATACGAATCGCATTAAACCGTAAATAATAAAAATAGATATTTATTAGTCGAAGAAGAAAAAAAAGCGAGACTCCATTATCTTTCTTAAGACTCAAATTGTGTCGAAGTCGACTTCGATTTTTTTGCGAGTTTCCCAACCATTAATTCTTAACCATCGACATCCTCGCTATCCCTCCGAGACACCCCCTATTCAAGAAACAAAGATAGAAAGAGTCGAATCGAATCTACCCTCGTGAACTACGATCTTCATTCAGAGCCGCCCCCGCCATTCTTCCATGTGACGTCATAGAAAGCATCGGAGCATTCACTACCCCACACACACACGCGCGCGCGCGCAA